CCTAGTAGGTTGGAGGCCATTGCTTTCAGGTTTGACGCCATTGCTTTTAGGTTGGAGGCCATCGCTTTTAGGTTGCAGGATATTCCTAGTAGGTTGGACGCCATTGCTTTTAGGTTGGAGGCAATCGCTTTTGGACATCCCTAGTAGGTTGGAGGCCATTGCTTTAGCTTGGACGCCATTGCTTTTAGGTTGCAGGCCTTCGCTTTTAGGTTGGAGGCCATCGGTTTCAGGTTGCAGGCCATCCTAGTAGATTGGAGGCCATTGCTTTATAGGTTGGACACCAGTGCTTTTAGGTTGGAGGCCATCCCTAGTAGGTTGGAGGACATCGATTTTAGGTTGCAGGCCATCGCTTTTAGATTGGAGGCCATCCCTAGTAGGTTGGAGGCCATTGCTTTTAGGTTGAGGCCATCGCTGTTAGATTGGAGGCCATGCCTAGTAGGTTGGAGGCAATCTTTTTTAGGTTGGAGGCCATCCCTAGTAGGTTGGAGGCCATTGCTTTTAGGTTGCACGCCATTGCTTTTAGGTTGGAGGCAACTGCTTTTACATTGGAGGCCGTGCCTAGTAGGCTGGAGGCCATCACTTTTAGGTTGCGGGCCATCCCTAGTAGGTTGGAGGCCATTGCTTTCACGTTTGACGCCATTGGTTTTTTGGTTGGAGGCCATCGCTTTTGGACATCGCTAGTAGGTTGGAGGCCATTGCTTTTAGGTGGGTTGCAGGCCGTCGCTTTTTTAGGTTGGAGGCCATTGCTTTTTAGGTTGGACGCCATTGCTTTTTGGTTGGCGGCTATCGCTTTTAGGTTGGAGGCCAACCCTAGTAGGGTGGAGGCCATTCCTTTTAGGTTGGAGGCCATAACTTTTAGGTTAGAGGTGCTTTTAGGTTGGACGCCATGGCTTTTAGGTTGAAGGCCATCGCTTTTAGCTTCGAGGCCATCACTAGTAGGTTGGAGGCCATCGCTTGTAGGTTGGAGGCCATTGCTTTTAGGTTGGAGGCCATCGCATTTAGGTTGGATGCCATCCCAAGTAGGTAGGAGGCCATTGCTTTTAGGTTGGAGGCCATCGC